AGGCCTTGGCAGGGGCTGCCCAGGGAGGTTTGGAGTGCCCAGCCCTGGAGGTGTCCCAGGGGTGTCTGGATGTGGCCCTTGGGGAGGTGGCTCAGGGTGACTGTGGTGGTTTTGGGGGATCCCAAAGGGCTCCTCCAGCCCTGCTGTGTCTCTGGTTGCACGTCAGAGGGGGAAGTCACTTGTCCTGACACGTCCTGTCCCAAGGTCGTCACCACAAGGTCTGAAGCGAAAGCAGGGAGGTGGCAGAGGGAGAGGGGAAGTGTTTGGGGTGAGGGATAAAGTGTTCTCTTTTGTTTGCAGTATCTGTGGGGTGAGTTCTGTGTCACCTCGAGCAGAGGCCACGATCCCACCCCACCTTCACGTGGCAGAGGAGCACAAAATGTTCCTTCCTCCGAGTCACGTTAATTGGAAACTTCCCTTCAGCACTCATCCACCTCAAATATTGCCCTTTTTTCCCTCTATTTTAGCTTTTTTGGGGGTCTTTTCTGTAAATGGGCTGAAACCCTGGGAGGAAAGATGATCCTTTCCAAACCCAGCTCCGGGGGAGGGACAGTCCCTTCAAAGGCTCTTTGTGGTTCTTTCTTCCAGGCCAGAAGTAAAAATATTTTTCCCGTCGACACCGTTGATGATCTTGCACCAGACACAACTTATTGTTTTAAGGTTCAAGCAAATCTTCCCACAGAGGGCAAAGAAGGGCTGTTCAGCCCCGTTCGCTGCGTGAAAACCACCCAGAAAGGTGAGAGGAAAATCAGTTTGTCTGCAAATTGTGGTTGAATTTAAACTGTCACAAAGTGGGTCGGTCTGAAGCAACAAAAATGTGCAGAGTTGCCAAGTTTCTCCTCATTTTGGTATAAAAAACCACATATAACATAGAACAGTTATTTACATTTGTTTTCTCAATCAGCATAAGATATGGCAGTAGCAGAGTTTTAATTGTACAAAAAGGGGTTTTGCCACGAAGCAAATTTTGCCCATTAATTTGGAGTACAGAAATAGGCAGAAGTGCCAAGTTCCTCCTCATTTTGGTGTAAGAAAATACGTATAGCACATGACATTTATTTTTCTCACTCAACATGAAATATGGCAATAGTGGAGTTTTAATTGTACAAAAAGGGGTTTTGCCAGCAGGCAATTTATTATTGCCTGATCAATTAATTTGGAGTGCAAAAGCTACTTTCTGCATTTTTGGAAAACTCTCTGTGTTTTGAATTAGTGGCTTTGAATCAGGAGGAAAGGGATGTTTTGGAGGCAAAAGAAAAGCCTTTTGTGCACTTGGCACTAAATAAATGCACAGAAAGTTGGACTAAGCTTAAAAAATCCTGGTTTTACGTAATCCTTGGGGAATTGATTGCTCCTGGTTCTGGAAAAAGGCACAGTGGCAGTTGGCCACCAGTTGCTTGGTTTGCAGGTCTAAATTTAAATTCTTTTATGTGCCTTCAGGTGTCAGTTTAGGTACTTCCAAATGTTTCTTTCAGGAAAAAAATAACTTCAAGAAAGTCAGATATAGATCAGATCTGGATGGGACATCAAAAATATTTGGTGGATGGTACATCAAAATCAAAATTAGTTGGAGTAATTAATAGATAGTATTTTTGTATAAAGTAATTTCCATGTACCAAATAAAAAATATACTAAGTAATACATGTGCATTTTAATGAAATACTAAAATAATTAATGCTCGTGCCTTTTAATAAAATATTAAATTAGTTCACGTGTATTATAATAAATATTTAAATAATTGACACGTGCATGCTTTAATAAAGTGTTAAAATGAAAATATTGGAATGTGTGATAAATACAAATGTATTTTACACATTTTTCCCCTCAATTTATTGCCAAAACAGTTTATTGCTGCTCATCTCAGTGTTTCTGTAGTTGAATTTTTTTCTGAATTGATTTTTTTTATTAAAGGCTTAGTACAACACCCTGACTTTGATTTGCAACCTTTAGAATGAACAGATAATCTCTATATTTTCATTGTTGAAAAGGTACCGTGAGAAACGTCCATTCAGTGAGAAATCTGTCTGTAATATCAATTTTTTTGGCTAATTTTGGGTTTCCTTTTCATTCTGAGCAGTGAACGACCTTCTCTGTGCAACAAATCTGAGAGTGCTTGGTTTGAATATGGAATTTCACCTGCACTGGGATAATCAGTATAAACAACCCGTGAGCTACAACGTCCAGTACCTCATGTGAGTCCAGAATTTCCATCTCAGTGGGCAGGTTTTGGCCTCTGAAATGCCATTTATTTTATTTTGCCAGTGCTTCCTGGAAATTAAAATGAAATATTTGGTGTATTAACGAGGTAATTGGAACGTTCATCTGTTAAAAGGATTCCATCATATCTGATCCTGGAATTTCAGGGCACTGGGATGATTTTAGTAGTGTTTAATACCTGAGGGAAGGGACTTCTAAATGCTAAGTAACACTTTTAAAAGCTGGGAAGCTTTGCTTTGTAGCTTTTTGAGTGTGAAAAAATTCGATGACTGGAAGGGAGAAAAATGCAGGTGCTTGAGGTTTCAGTTGTCAACAGATCTGATTTCTTCTGGTCAGATCCAAGCGTGGAAAAATACCTGTCCTAGCACATCAAAAAAACATTGTGTCACATCAAAAAAATCATATCAGGTTAAAAAAAAAAAAGTATCTCATCCGAAAAATATTGT